TGTCAAATAAATAAATAAAATCTTAAAAAAAAAATATATATATATATATACAAGCTCACCCATACTCAAAAAGAAGAAAAATGCAACCAAACTCACTACCATGTTTTGTTTATCAATTTAGCAGAGTTTTTAATTTTTTTTAATATCAAATGTTGGAAAGGTAGAGGTAAGTTTTCTCACAAACTGGGGACAGAAGGTACTTTGATAATAAGTTATTAAATGTCTTAACTCACACACACCCTTTGTCCCCTTTTAGAATTATAGGAAAAAATGTGGATCTGTGTAATGATCACAACTCTAAGGGCCTCATCACAGGGTGATTTTTGATAGAAAAGCCTATTAGTCCAATAGTAGAAGGTTGGTTAAATACATTATGGTATATCCACCCATTTTTTGGAATGCTATAGGAACATATTTAATGACACGAAAAATGTTTGCATTATTAAATGTAGAACAAGCTATAAATGTCATGCAAAGTATAAGAATATATGTATATACACATTTATAGAAAAACACTTGAAGTCTGTCTACCAAATCGATGACAATATGGAATATTTAAATTTCCTTCCTTCTGCTTATCTACATGTTCTAAGTTTTCTAAAACAAATTCTCATTACTGCTGGATTAAGAAAAACAATAACCATGGGCGCCTGGGTGGCTCAGTTGGTTAAACGACTGCCTTCGGCTCAGGTCATGATCCTGGAGTCCCGGGATCGAGTCCCGCATCGGGCTCCCTGCTCGGCAGGGGGTCTGCTTCTCCCTCTGACCCTCTTCCCACTCGTGCTCTCTGTCTCTCATTCTCTCTCTCAAATAAATAAATAAAATCTTAAAAAAAAAAAAAAGAAAAACAATAACCATTATTATATTTAGTAATATAAAGGAGTCAGCTGGGAACTAGATGCAGCCTCGCGGTTCGTAGCAGGACCACTGTCTCATCTACAGCTGCCCCCACCCACTGCCTGGGGGCCAAGAGCCGGCCTTTCCTCCTCCTGCCAGCGGGCTTCTCAGGCCTTGAAACCAACGGGAGCCTCTGCAAGGGTGGAGTGGGCAAGAAGGGAGGGAGCCTCCGATGTTCCTGGGGGCTGGAGGGGGCGTGATCTCATCAATATCTCCTGGCCCCCCAATGCTTTCTATACATACTCGTCGGGTTTCACTATGGGTTACATAGGTATAAGCAAGCTGGCCTCCACCTTACCACAATACACGACATTGTTTCTATTGAGAGCCCATTCCCGGTTCCAAACAACTGACTTATTAGCAACTTTTGGTTCCTAACATACACATAAATTGGGAACTGCGAATTCACTGCTTTCAGTAACTCAGAATGGTTCAGTCACAGGCAGAAATGAGGATGCCTCCAAGAGGAGCTGCTCTCAAAGGCTGTCAGTGGCCGCCTCTTGCTATGGCCCTCAGCAGGGCCCTGTGATAGAAACCCAGAGCCTATAAAGAAGATCCGTGGCTGCATTACAACGCAGTCAATGAGTGCTCACTGACCCTTCAGCCCTCTGAGACTAGTAGACATAAGGGCCCATTTACTCTGCCCTAATCACCACCTTGTCAGAGACACTTGAGGCAACAATGAAACTACGTGACCCCACTGGGGCTGTTGTCTCAGGAGGCTCTGTGCATTGACTGGCAAAGCCATCCTCAAGTCAGCTTCGTCACTAGGAGCAGAGGGAACCTAGTTTGAGCTAAACTATGCTGTCAACTCCCACTCATTCTTGCAGAGTTGCAATATTTACCTCCAATTCCTGGATCTCTGAAACCACCCTTCCACCTCCCTCGAGTGGCTCTTACAGGACCACTCACCCACATAAAAACAAAGAAGTTTTTCTTTTTTCCCCAAAGGAGGTAAATATGGAAATGAGATGGACAGCAGTGTGAAAGTGAAAAGGATAGGCGACAAGAGGTCTGTGCAGTGGGGTCCTCTGCCCACTGCAAGTGTTTGGCATGGCCTTGTAAACCAGTCACTTAGATTTTATTTCTCCCAGTGACTGTCAATTGACTGGTCAGTACTTAAGATCTTAATTTCCTTAATTGTCTGATCATGAATAAACCTCTACTGACCTATCACCATCCTAAGAAAACTCCATTTTATCAAAAAAGGGACGGGAAGGGAGTTATTATTTAGCCCCTGAAGAAGGAATCCCTGAGGCCTCCTTTAAGTGTTAACATGTCTCCTACACCTGGTTTAGAATGGCTTTTTGAGATGAGAGCCCAGGTTAAATCAGGGCCCTCAAACAGTCCTCTAGATTAGGGGACCAGCAAACTATGATCCAAGGGCCTTTTTATAAATAAAGTTTTATTGAAACACAAACACCCTCACTGTTATCTATTGTCTAAGGTTGCTTTTGTGCTACAAAGGCAGAGTTGAGTAGTTGCAACAGAGGCCATGTGGCCTGCAAAGTCTAAAATAGTTACTATCTGGCCCTTTGCAGAAAAAGTTTGCCCACCCCTGGTCTAGACAGTGGAGAGTGGCTGGAGCCCATCCTGTTGCCCAGACACGGTCCCCAATAGATACCCCAATACCCACATCACAAAAACAGTCCACTGCTTCTCGAAGAGAAGGGCAGAAAGATTGGGAGGTAGAGAGTTTGGGGGAAAAACAAGTGAGAGAGAGGTAAAGACAATTTAAGACCTCCAGAAAAAGAGAAGGCATCTCAAAAAATATATAAATTCATAAGAATATATAATTAAATGTACAAAATTATGATCCCAATGTAAAGTTTTAGCTAGTGTCTAAGTCGGAGTATGGCTGTTACAGCCAGCAGGCATAATAAAAATTATAATAAGAATATAAACCACCTTGGATTTCTAGAGTGACTTTCTTCTAGCAAGTTCAAAGCAGTTCCTTTTCATCTTTCATCTGCCTTCATAACATTTATGAGAATTGTTGTTAGACTCACTTAACAGATGAGAAAATAGATTAAGCTGTAACAAAACTGTATTTAAGGTCTCTTAACTTCAGATGACCATATAACTTTTTGTCTAATAAGCCTTTTTGTGAGTGAAAGGGGGTGTGATTAATAATTACATTCAGACAACAGGTATGAACCAGAACTGTCCTAGACACACATTAATTCTCACTTTATTTTTTTTAAGATTTTATTTATTTATTCTTGTGAGAGAGAGAGCGTATGCACTCATGGGCACACAAGCAGGGGGGAGGAGCAGAAGGAGAAGCAGACTCCCCACTGAGTGGGGAGCCGATGCGGGGCTCAATCCCAGGACCCTGGGATCATGACCTGAGCCAAAGGCAGACGCTTAACCAACTGACCCACCTAGGCAGCCTTATTCTCACTCTAAAAACTGTATTCCATTGTGCAAGACTGTTGAATCACAGATCTGTACCTCTGAAAAAAATAATACAATATATGTTAAAAAAAAAAAAAAAAAAGAAGATAGCAGGAGGGGAAGAATGAAGGGGGGCAATCAAAGGGCGAGATGAACCATGAAAGACGATGGACTCTGAAAAACAAACTGAGGGTTCTAGAGGGGCGGGGGGTGGGGGGATAGGTTAGCCTGGTGATGGGTATTAAGGAGGGCACGTTCTGCATGGAGCACTGGGTGTTATATGCAAACAATGAATCATGGAACACTACATCAAAACCTAATGATGTAGTGTATGGTGATTAACATAACATAATAATAAAAAAATAAAATAAAAATAAAATAAAATAAAAATTGTATTCCATGGGGTAGCCAGGTGATGGGCATTATTAAGGAGGGCATGTGTTGTGATGAGCCCTGGCTGTTATATGCAACTAATGAATCATGGAACATTACATCAAAAACTAATGATGTACTATATGGTGGCTAACTGACATATTAATAAATAAATACATAAATATATAAATAAATAGATTTAGGGTTCTTTAGTTTTTTAAAAAAAAAAAAAACTGTATTCCAGAGAGAAACTGGAATGAGAAAACTTCAGTTTATATGATTTTAAGCAAGTCAAATACCACCAAACTTATTTCTTGGGACTTTGGAATGTAGAAGACAGAGAAAAGAAATCTCATGAGCCTAGAATCCTAGGAAGTGGCTTAGCTGCCCAGTTCCAGGCCTGGGACCACAAAGTGATTCACCCATCAGCCTGTCATTTGGACTTCAAAAGCAGGAAGAGTTCTGAAGAGGGAAGGAAGTAAAGGCAGAGAGGCAATACCTGTAGCCAAAGGTGCTCTGAAACCCACAGGTAATCATGATCTCCATGGGGGCCCAGGCCCAAAGCTGAAAGCTTTTATTCTTAGATGAGTGGGTGGAGTGGTGGCAACTGATTCTTCAAATTCTTCTTGTGTGTTGGCTGAGAGAGGAAGGAGAGAGATGTGGGGAGGGGCAAGTGTTACCAACCTTTGTTGGCTGTTCATCTGTGTCCCTTTGTGTCACACAGGAGACGTCCCATACGTGTTTGATGAGGGAATGATTGGTTGAAAGAATTTTTCTGAAACAGAGTCACTAGATTTAATATTGGAACAACATTTCCAATATTAGTCATAGACTAAGGCTTTAGAGGGCTTCACAACTTGTATTATGTTCTCCCATTTTAGTCCAGACACCTCTCCCAAGTCCTGTAAAATTTGGATACTAGTAATATGTATACAATTATATTATAGAGTTGATGTGATGATTAAAAGAGTTAATATATGTAAAGTGCTTAGAATAATACCTGCCCCTTAGTAAAAATTATATAAGTGAAAATGATGGTCATGGTGGTACTAATGAAGGTATTGGTAGAGGTAGAAATAGAGGTGGAGGTGGTGGTTGTGCTGGTGGAGGTGATGATGGTGGGAGGGGTGATGGAGAAAGAGGTGGTGATTGAGATGGTAGAGGTGATGATGGTAGTGGTAGTAATGATGGTAACATCCAAGCACCATAGAACAATTTCAAACACTCTAACATACATGCAGTTGGAATCCCAGAAGGAGTAAAAAGATAGAATGGAGCAGAAGTATTATCTGAAGACATAATGCCTGAAAATTTTTTCTATGATGAAAAACCAGATCCAAGAAGTTTAGAGAACCTCAAGCAGGACCAACACAAAGAAAACTACCTGCCACATCAAAGTCACATCACTGAAAACTCAAGATAAAGAGAGAAATCATGAATACAGATGTGAAAAAAATGACCTACATAAGGTAGGAAATAATAATTATAGCTGACTTCTTGACTAAAACCATGGGAGCCAGAAGACAATGCAGATATATCTTTATAGTAGTGAAAGAAAAAAAACCTGTCAACCTAGAATTCTATACCAAGCAAAAATGTCTTTCAAAAATTAAAGCCAAATAAAGATTTTTAACAAACCAAAGCTGAGATGACATATGGCAGGCATACCTGCTCTGCAAAAAAATGTTAAAATTACTCAGGCAGAAGGAAAATGTCAAATGGAATTTGCGATTTCAAAAAGGTGGGAGGGAGGAAAAGAGTGACAGATATGGTAACATGTGGGTCAATATTTAAAAACATCTTGTTCTTTGGGGCACCTGGGTGGCTCAGCCAGTTGAGTGGCTGACTCTTGATTTCTGCTCAGGTCATGATCTTGGGGTCCTGGATCAAGCCCCATGTTGGGCTCCTTGCTCGGCAGGGAGTCCGCTTGAGGATTCTCTCTCCCTCTCCCTCTTCCTCTGCCTCTCCCTTTGCTCACATGCTCTCTCTCTCTCTCAAAGAAATAAACCTTTAAAAAAATCTTGTCTTTTAATATATAATTTTTTATTATTTAAAGCAGGGTTCACAAACTATAGCCCACAGGTCAAATCCTGCCTGCGGCCTGTTTTTGTAAATAAAGCTTATTGAAACAGTCATGTTCATCACTTACTATTTGTGTTGTTATTGTGCTACAATGGCAGGGTTAAGTAGTTGCAATAGAGATTGTATGGTCCTCAAAATCTAAAATATTTACTACCTGGCTCTTTACACAAGAAGTTTGCCAACCCCTGATCTAAAAAAAAAAAAAAAAAACCTCCAAGATATTATGGAGTTTATAACGTATGTAGACATTAAATAGATGACAACAATAACACCAATGATGGGAGACCAAAATGGAAGTATACTGTTTTATGGTTCTCATACCATATGTACTAGACTGTGACAAGTTAAAAATATATACTTTATACCCTAGAGGAATCACTAAAGAATAATAATAAAACAGGGGCACCTGGGTGGCACAACTGGTTAAGTATCTGACTCTTGGTTTCAACTCAGGTCATGATCTCAGGGTTGTGAGATTGAGTCCTGTGTCAAGCTTCATGCTCAGCAGAGTCTGCTTGAGATCCTCTCTCCCTCTCCCTCTACCCTCCCACTCGTGCTCTCTCTCTCTCTAAAATAAATAAATAAATCTTTAATAATAATAATAAAACAAAGAGGTATATCTAACAAGCCAAGAGCAGAGATAAAGAGAACTCTAAGAAGTACTGAATTAATCCAAAAGAAGGCAAAAAAAAAAAAAAAAAAGGAAAGAAGAAATAAAGGATAGATGGAACAAACAGGTAAAACTTCAAGACAATAAACTGAATCTGAATGCATCAAGAATTATATTAAAGAAGTGGTCTAAACACTCCAATTAAAAGGCAAAGATTGTCAGGTAGGTTTTTTTAACAAAGCAAGTCATAATCTATACTGCCTACAAAAAAAAAACTGAAAAATATATATATATTTATATATATATATATATATATATATAAAATATATAAAGGCATAAATAGGTTAAATATAAAAGTAAAATCCTGGGAAAATATATGGTATATAGACAGCACTAATTTTAAAAGCTCAAGAGGTTCTATTTATAGCAGACAGAATAGACTTCAGGACAAAATATTATCAGGAATAAATATGAATCTTAGGGGGTAGGGGAAGGAAGAATTGGAAAAAGAGGGTCAAAAGGTACAAACTTCCAGTTATAAGTAAGCCCTAGGGATATAATGTACATCATGGTAACTATAGTTAACACTGCTCTATGATACAAAGGAAGGCTGTTAAGAGAGTATATCCTGAAAGTACTCATCACAAGGAGACAGTTTTTTCCTTTCTCGTTATTGTATCTCTATGAGATGATGAATGTTAACTAAACCTGTCATGGTAATCATTTTATAATATATGTACATTAAACATGCTGTACACCTCAAATGTATACAGTGATGTATGCCAAGTATTTATTAGTAAAACTGGAAAAAAAGAAGATAAACATTACATTATTATACGCAGGTCAATTCTTTAAGAAGGTATAACAAGGCCAAATATGTGTGCCTCCAATAACAGAGCTCCAAAACACAGAAAGCAAAAGTTGATAGAAAGGAAAAATAGACAAATGCAAAATTATAGTGGGAGATTCTAACATTTTTCTCTTTGTAATTGATAGAACAAGGCAATAGAAAATCAGCAAAGATACAGATTTCAGCAACACTATCAACCAATTTGCCCTAATTGACACAGAACACTCTACCTAAAAATAGCAGAATACACATTCTTTCCAAGTGCCTATCAGACACTGACCAAGATAGACAACATTCTGGCCTATAAAACAAATCTCAATAAATTTAAAAGGATTGAATTCATACAAAGTATATTTTTCTGAACACAGTAGAATCAAACTAAAAATCAATAGAGAAAAAAATTGATGATAGTCAATGGTGTCTAGAGTGTAGAAAAACCGCATTCTCATACATTGCTAACGAGTAGAAATCCGTATAACCCTTCTGAACATTAATTTGGCTCCATGTACCAAGAACCCACGGTGCGCATCCTTCTAATCCAACTGTTCTATTTTTAGGAATTATGCTAAGGAAATAAACATAGATGTGGATAAAGACTTAAAATAACAGAAGGTTCAACACAGTATTATTGTTAACAGCAAATAAATGTGTGTAGGAGAGGGGGGAGATATCGGAAATATCCAAGAATAGTAGATTAAATAAATTTTAATTTTGATGTAGTCATATAGTAGACTATTATGTAGTGATTTAAAATATTTTTGTAGAAAAATACTGGCATGGGAAAATGTCCACCATAAAATATTAATGAGAAAAAGAGTAAGTAGAGGGGCACCTGGGTGGCACAGTCAGTTAAGCGTCTGCCTTGGCTCAGGTCGTGATCTCAGCGTCCTGGCACCAAGCCCCAGGGGTCCCTGTTCAGCAGGGAGTCTACTTTTCCCTCTCCCTCTGCCCCACCTCCCACTCGTGCACGTGCATAGGCACTCTCTCTCTCTTCTCCCAAATATCTTTAAAATTTTTTTTCAAATAAAAAAAAGAAAAAGGTGAGTAGATTATGAAACAATATGTACAGAATATCCCAATAGTGTGTGTGTGTGTGTGTGTGTGTTTTTCTGTATGTAAAACACTAAAGGACATATATCATAATGTTAACCTCAGTTATCTCTGATCATAGAATAATTGACAATTATAATTTTCTTCTTTGTGCATCTCTATAAAATCCAAATTCTCTGGAACTAATATGTATTACTTTCAGAATCAGGAAAACAAGTTTTATTTAAGAAACATTTTCTGTTATATCCAGTTTGAAATACAACTTGTTTAAACTGAAGTCTACTGCTACATTATGCAGAGGTGCAGAGGTTTTGTTTCTTTTTTGTTTGAATGAAACAAGTAACTGTCCCAAAATCTGCTAATAATAACATCTGGGGTAGAAGTGGGTAGGAAGTTAGGGAAAAAGAGAAAAGAGCTTCTAAGAATCAGAAGAGGTGCCAACAGTGCAAAGTGGGGGGCGGTGTGGAGAAGGGGTTTGAATGCCAGTTTAAGTCACAGAGCAAAGATACACACACACACACACACACACACACACACGGGCGTTGGGGGAGACAGGAGACAGAGAAATGGAGACAAAGAGACAGAAAGAAACAGAACAAAGAGAGCACTTTGGTTAGCAGGTCTGAGTAAGCCCTTCCTCTTATGTGCTCATACCTCCCTCCAGCAGAATCACCTTGTGGCATTGTGGGACTAGCCTGACTCTGCCTCAGACATTCATCACACTTAACACTACCAGCAAAGTCTCTCCTTTAGGTTAAAGAGGTACTTTCTAGAATGAGGATTCTCTTTGTCCCTTTTAAAAATGGGAAGCACACTTGGACCAGTGAGTTGATGAGCCCTCTATACTTTAATGCAAATTAATTACATCAACATATTTAGGTGTGCTGTAGAAAAGCACTAAGCTATGGAAAAAAAGGGGGGGTTATCAGGATTCCGGGGCCTGAGAGAATCTACAGGAAGCTTACAATTCCCCTAGAATTAGTTAATTTATGAGAAAGTTGGCTTAGAGGTATGAGGATTAGCCGACTTATGAGAAAAAGGGTAAATGAGAGAGATGCAGGAACATGGCCAGGAGGATGGAGACTCTGACAGAGAGCTGTAATAGCTTGAAAATATTTCCACAAAATCTTTGAGATGCCTCCCTTCAAAAGGTGGGGCTTAATTGCCCACATCTTGGGTGTGGGCCGAATGTAGTTACTTGCTTCCAAAGAATAGAATCAGGCAGAAGTGGCAGTGTAGGACTTCAGAGAGCAGGTGTCCTTCCTCCCCCCTCCTCTCTGTCCCTCGCTGTCCCTCTTCCTTGTACTGCCCCTGCTCGCTCACTCTCTGTTCACCTGCTCTGACCACAGCCAGCTGCTGTGTCGTGAGGACACTGAAAAGGACACTGAAGCAGTTCCTCAGAGAGGCCTGCGTGGTAAGTCAACAGCCGTGTGAGTGAGACTTTTTGGAAGCAGCTCTCCCATCCAGTCGAGCCTTCAGATGACTGCCGCCCTGGCCAACAAACAGACCTTGTGGGAGAACGTGAGCCAGAACCACCCCATAGACCAGATTCCCAACCCTTGGAAACTATGTGAGATCATATTTGTTGTTTCAAACTGCTACATTCTGGGGTAAATTTTTGCACAGCCAGATAACTAAATACAAGGGAAAGAAGGGAGAAAACATGAAGACTGTGTAAGGACAGGACTATATGCTTTTAGCTTAATTTCAGATTCCCTTCCTCCCCCAAACCCCCTCCCCCACCCCCGTAACATCTTTGCCTGTGCTTAGGGCAGAGGCTGAAGGGAAAAAGAAGTAACAGTGATCTGATACGGGGAGGCTTGGGGAATGTGTCTCATAACACAACCGCTAGCCCCACCTGTTGGAAATATGAACCAGGGTCCTCACATTTAAAGCTGGGGGCGGGGTCATTTATTTATTCAACAAATGTGTCCTGAGTACATGGTACCTGGCACTGTGCTATCTACTGGAGACACGGGAAGGAGGAATATAGATACAGGGCCTGCCTTCGTGGCATTTACAGACTAGCATGTGAAAATTCCAGTTTCCTCCTGTGTCTAGTCCCAAATGTACAATGACCCAAAGATGAGATAATGTTACAGATTTCAGGATGGAAGTCTCAGCTGCTAGGGCTGCTTGGTTCAAATAGGGCTCCATAGCCATAGAAAGGCAAGCATGCTTTATTTTCTAGGTCAGAAGTCAATCACAGTGTCTTTTTAGAGACAGAGACACTTCAAGGACTTAGTAGGAGAAAACTCACAGAAAAAGCCAGCATCCAGCCTGCTGGTTACCTCTCTTCCCACCACAGCACCCAAAGCACACAGAGCCCCACCCATTCACCTCCGGGATCTGAGACACTCTCCCCAGCCCTGCTCAGGTCTACACACCTACCATTGTGTATTTCAGTTCAAGGTGTTAGTAAGGAGTAAAGATGAAGCTGAACCTGAACACTGGCAGGGAATCCAGCCAGCACATGACTGCCCATTCCAGCACAGTACACCAAGGCTGTTCCTTCTGCCTGTCAGTCCCAGATGGAGCATCAAGACAAGGCTTTAGTCTTGGCTAACAAATCCTGATCTGCCCCTCAAAACAACCACTTCGGTTCTCACTTTCTCTTACTGGATCTGACCTCCCTGGTTCCAAGTTCAGGCTCCATCACCCTGTTTCCTTCACTCCCTCCCTCCAACTACTTCCCAGCTTCTTCTTCCAAGTCCACCCCTCCCTACCCGCACCCCCCCCTCTTCTGGACCTTGGCTTCCTAGCACTGCATGTGTTAACTCTGTTCATGAGTGGGTTTGCAGTATCTCTAGTTATGGTGGGTGGTAATTCCCCACCAGGGAGCCACATGCCCCAGAGGAAGAAGGGCCACCAGGATTCCAGAAAAAATCTCAAGATTTCCTGAGATCCCAGGAGGTGAGCTGACTGGAATGGAAGGTAGACTTACCTGTGAACACTGACCTCATCACCCATGCCAGGACCTTTCACATCCGTGTCTGGTTTAAGACCAGTTAGCATGGTTGTAAAGTTTACGGACTGCAAACAACTACCTCACTGATGTTTTGTATGATAACAACAGAGGAGGAGAACCCTTATTGTGCCAAGAGGAGTTTCTCTTTATTTCTTAGTAGTGACAGCCACTGAGAGATACAGGGAGGGAATTCTCTGGTACATCTGTTACTTCCCCAAAATCTTAAGCATTCTGGAGACAGCTCATCCCATTCCCCCTGCTTGTGTTCCCTCTCTCACTGTGTCTCTATCAAATAAATAAAATCTTTTCCCAAAAAAATGATTTGTGAAGACCATTGATTCCTGACAGTTCAGATTTTATGAAAGGGAGTCAACAGATACTGTGCTTGGGTAAGTTCAGGATAAGAGGATAAGAGCCAAACTCCTAAGTAAATTAGAAACTGGTGAAAATGTAAGGCTCCCTAACCTCCATTTGTGAAGTAGGCAGAAACCAAGCCCCAGGATTTTGGAATAATGCTGTCCTCCTGTCCAAGCCATGGGGCTTCCTTACAAGCAAAAGACTCCTCCACAGTGAAAATCCTGCCTTATCAACCTTACTCGGACAAGTCAAGAAGCAAGACCCAGAAAATGGGAGCAGAAACTAAGTGCTTTTCTACACTAAAGAGCATTGTTAAAGTTTTAGTATATCCATCCCAAAAACAGAAAAAAAATTAGTGATTATTGATGTGGTAATGTTGGTCAGGGTTTGGAGCTGATGGCCAAGAATTCTCAAGACGTCTTTGGTGCAAAAAGGTGGTTTTATTAACGCACAAGGACAGGACCCATGGGCAGAAAGGGCTGCCCGGGGATTGTGAAGAGCAACTGATTATATACTATGAAGTTGGGGGAGGTAAAGACCAGGGAAGTTTCCAAAAGGACTTTCGTATGCTAAAGAAGACTCCCAGGATCCTGGAGGCCTAGCTATTTTCAAGCTAAGGTTGTTTTTCCGTCTAGTGAAGCATTAACAGTAAGACAGTTGGGAGTTCCCTGGAGGAATGTTACACTCTGCCTGCCTCAAGTATTTGTCAATGGGCTGCAAGTTATAAGGAAATTTAATTTTATTTACATTTCCTACTGCCTTTGTTCCCCCACATAAATTATCGGTTCTCAGCCCAGCATTACTGGGTGCTGGGGCTGCCAAAAAAGCACCTGGGGTTTCTGCCCTTAAGAAACTGGCTGGCTGATGATAAACAATACAGGACTACAAAAGCCTATAGGAGCACTCGGAAGGGTGACTGCAACCACCTGCTTTGTAGAGCAGATGACTTTGAAGGATGAGTAGGAGTTTGCCAGGAATCAAAAAGGGGGGAAAAAACCATGGAGAGGTCAACAGGTGTAGCGTGTTTAGGGGATTTTGGAGTGGAGTGACCAGAATATAATGGAATATAATAGGGTTGGAAACGAAAGGGCCAGATCATGAAAGCTTTTATGTGCCATGCTCAGAAGTTTATGGTTTACCCCTTTTCAACAGTCTGGCATTTAGTCTGATCATAAAATAAAGATCTTAACTGGGGCCTTGGTTCTAAGCTTCATCAGATCTCTTAAGGATGAAAAGTGTCTTTCTAGTTTCTTTTCTTTCCTTTTTCTTTTTTTTTTAACCTTTAGTGAATACTTTAACCACCAGAATTTCTTGTTCTCTTTTACCCTGACATGAAGTTGCTTAACAATGGAATAATTCAGTTCTTTATTTCTCAATATTGCCCTTTTGAAGGTTTCTAGGTTTTTAAAAATCTGAATGCTTTTGGCTATTGTTATTCAGGGAAAGCCTGAGGGCACTCCAAGCACAGCTGAGAGGTCAGCTTCCTGAGGACAAAAGAGGCTTGTTAGATTTAATCATGGGCTCCCCCACCAAGAGCACTGGGAGCAAGATAAAAATGCAGAGTCAGAAACTGAGCTGAACTCTCCGTTCACATGAGGAGTGAGCTCTACCACATGGTATCCACAAAGTTTCCACGAACTATCTCCCACAATGCTGAGTATATAACCACTCAATAAATAATGCAATGCTTAATAATCTCCCTCTCCCTCTTTCTACTTGTTCTAGATGGCTTTAAATGCCAGCAATACCTAAAGCCTCCCAAGTTTATTTCCTTGACTTGAGCTCTCTGGACTCATACATCTACCTGCCTACTCAACATCTCCACTCTCTCACTTTACAAATCTTGATCCCTCTGGTGGCAGATTGTATTTTCTGAAGATGGGAACCACAATATCTCCCATCCCATACGCTCTTCTACAATGTGATGCTGACATGTCTCACGGAAGGCCGAGGCCCATATCCCCTCCCCTAGAAACTAGACTGATCTTTGTGACTCTGTCAGGCAGGAGCGAACGGTAGAAATGAGGCTATGAGACTTCCTAGGCTAGGGCATAGAACTGTCATGCACTTCCATCTTGTTTTTGGAAGGCTCACTCTTGGAGCCCAGCCACCATGCTGTGAGGAAGCCACCAGTCACATGGAGTGGGTGAGGTGTGGGAGTTCTGGCCAACAGTCCCAGCCGAGGGCCCAGCCAATAGGTAGCGTCAACTGCTGCACGGGATTGACGAACCTCAGATAGTTCCAGCCAGCAGCTGCGTCCCCCAACTAATACCACCTGCACCCATTAAGCCTCCACTGAGTTCTGTCCATATTGCAGATTTGTGAGAATCAATCATGTTTCAAGCCCTAGGCTTGGGGTGGTTTGTTACTAGGCAGTAGATATAGTTATTGGAACACCCCCAAACCTACTTTTCCTGCCATCTTCCCTTTCTTAGATAGTAGACCACTATCTACCCCATTGCTCAGGCCAAAAACCCAGATTCATTTCTCTCTCACATTTTCTCATCTATCAGTAAACCCCCCAGGTGATTCTGCTTTCAAAATATATCCAGAACCCATCCACTTCCCATTACTTTACTGTCCCCCATCCAAGCCTCCATCATCTCTTGGGGTTGTTGCAACAATTCCCCAATTAGTCCCCCTGCTTCCAGGCCTTGCCCCTCTATGGCCTAGTCTCCACACAGCCTTTAGCAGGCTCAGAGCCTCCTGTGACTAATTCACTCAGAAGAAAAGCCAGTATCCTCTCGGTGGCCTACAAGACCCCATTTGCTGCCCTTGTCCTTTGCTGACTCATTAATGCATGGTCCCCCCAGTCGCTCCTGCTGCTGTCCCCAAATGCCCAGCACACTCCCACCTCAGGTCTTTACCCTTGCTTATATCTCCTACTGGGGGGCTCTCCCCACATATCCATAGCTTTGCTCCTTCCCTCCCTCTTCAGATCCCTGCTCAAATGTCTCCTTATCAAAGAAACCCACGATCACTCTACAAAAAATGGCACTGCCACCTCCCCCGCCCCTCCCCTGCACGCTGGACCACCATCTGTTCTTCCATTGTACATATCACTCCTGCCATGCTGCATATTTATTTGTTCATGTTCTGTCTCCTCCCACAAGCAAGTCAGCTTCCTGAGAGCAGGAACTTTGCTTTGTTTACTGCTGCGTTCCCAGGAATTACAACAGAACCTGGATGAATCAGATGAATGAATGAATCAGATGAATGAATGAATGATTTTGAAACTAGCACCAAAGGACACCATCAACACAGAGGCAAATGAATCAGAAGAGCCCCACTTGTGTTTCTGCTTATTTGTTTCCCTTAGCATAGATTTTTTTTTTTTTAAGATTTTATTTATTTATTTGACAGAGAGAGACACAGTGAGAGAGCGAACACAAGCAGGAGAGGGAGAAGCAGGCTTCCCACAGAGCAGGGAGCCCGAAGCGGGGCTCGATCCCAGGACCCTGGGATCATGACCCGAGCCGAAGGTAGACGCTTAACGACTGAGCCACCCAGGCGCCCCAGGTTTGTTTTTTTTTTAAATAGACAACAACACAACACAATCTGACTTCTTTAAAAGAAAATCCACCAACAAGTACCAAGGGATCTTCCTCACTGCTGGACACACTCGGCTATTGAGTAAAACATTTAGAAAATATCTTGCATCTTCCGCCTCTAGGCTTCCTGACAGTCTTTGAAGATGTCAGATCTAAACAATAAGCATCCAAGTGAACTATTTCACTGAACTGAACTTTTATAAATACAGCCTTTGTAGAAGTTGCCTTCATATTAAAGTCACCTTGACTTTCTGCTGCTCTAGAAACCACTTCCTATGTTATGTGCAGACAGTGTGTGATTTTATCTGTGTTAAGAAAGAAAAGTCACAACTGCAGTGAGAGCGTATCTTACTGCAGGTCATTATTATTTTGACAACTAGAAGACTTCTTAAATCACATGAGCAATTCATACACCTTACACAAAAATTAGAAACCATAAATAAAAAAGAAAAGAAAAATAATTCAAAATCCTACCACCCAGAGATCACAATTATTACCATTTTGATACACCTCCTTTTACCATATACATATTTATAGACATATACCTATTTATACTTTTCTTATTAAAATGGAACCATATCAAAACTACTTGAAGTCTGCTTGACATCTGTTGTTTTCCTTAACATACAAGGAGATTTCACAGACAAGTAGAGCCTTCACAAGTTCTTAAAGGGGCCTTTCACTTATCCCAAACAAAACAGTGTGTGTTTCAGGAAAACACTCCAAGACATGGGCTCAGGGCATCTGGATCCTGGTCCCCAGTCTGCAGAGCATTAGATGATAGGACATCTGGTAGAGACATTATAATTGCCAGAACCTCGTTCCCCTTTTGTTCAAAGGGGACAAATGGCTACTACAAGTAGGCACAAATTATCTCTGCTTTCTCCTTTTGGGTGCTAAAGTGTTAAGAAAGAAGTGGCAGAGTATTTCGAGGTGTGACATCTCCCTGCCACCCCTGGCTTACTAGAGACATTCTAGAAACTGCTGAAGCCTCGGGAACTGCTGAGGTTCCTGCCACATTTATTCAAAAGCTGGGTGATTTATATGCTGGTTGGGTATTCTTGCAGAAAATGCCATTCATTCACTCACTCACTCATTCATTCTCTCATTCAGCAAATACACATCAAACAGCCATCCTGTGCCAAGTGCTGGGGAGAGCATGGTTAGAGGGATGCCTGATACCCACCTTCAAGGAACTCGGTATAGTGGTAGTAGATAGGCAAATAAATTAGAAATTACAACACAGCCTGGTGATGGTTGCAGAATATGTGATGGGCCACTAGCAAGTCATGGCGGGGCTGCCAGCTTTGACAGGGGAATCCACAAAAAGTTCCATGAAAGAAGCGACACCCTGAGTCTTGAAGAAAGAACAGGATACCAGAGCACAATGATGAGGGAGGAGGGTCGGAGAAGAGAGACAGTGAGAGAAGCGGAAAGAACTTCGAGGAAGAGAAAACCATGTGTGCAGAAACCCACAGCGTGTCTGGAAATTACCAGTCATTCTGAAGCACCAGAGGAAGGAGTGTGGAGTGTGTCCAGCGGCAGGTGGGACACACGGTGGGACAGTGAGCCTCACAGAGGGACACCAGCTTTAGAGTCGTGAAAGCTCAGCGGGGCCATAGACCCACTACATCTCACCTCTGAGACGTTCCTTATCCCCAAAACACCAAGAATAAAACTCACTCCTTGTGGGGTTCTTCTAAAGATTAGAAAGAATATGAAAAGT